ACTGCTCGTTTCTCATCACCTCGTCGCCGATCGCCATCGCCTATGCGTCGTCGACCACCTCCTGAGGAGGGAAACTAATCAGTGCAGTTCCGGAGGCAAGAACTGCACCTTGTGCGCAATTCCCAAGGCCTCCATTTTCGCCGCAAAATGTTGTTGATGTCGATGTTGAGGGAGTCGCCACATTAGCGTTAATTGATACCGGGGCCGCCGTTTCTGTGATGAACGCAAAATTTTGTAGGAAACTGAAGAAAGTGACCACATATCTTAGTGGCTTGGTGCTGCCCACGGCTAGCGCGCAACGCATTCATCCCTCGGCTGTGTGTACGGCGCGCGTCGTCATCCGAGACGTTTTGTACGTCGTACAGTTTTTTGTTCTACCATCTTGCTCTCATGACCTTATCCAGGGTTGGGATTTCTTATCACGTCATGAAGCTATCATCGATTGTTCCCGTGCCGAAATGTCCCTTGTGCCAACATGTGAATTTACACCACCCGACCGCTCTCCTCTGCTCTGCAAACTCACCGCTGATGACGACATCATCTTGCCTCCTGAAGCTTCGGTCCCTATTAGCCTTTCATGTGTGGGGCAACCTGACGGCACGGTGGTGTTTACGCCATCTCCGGTTTTTACTGAACGCAAGGGCATCGTTCTCCCATTTGCTGTTCTTACAATTGCGTCTGGTTTAACCGTAATGCTGGTCACCAACCACTGCAACTACCCCATTGGCTTACTTCGTGGTGAAACGTTGGGATATGTGCAACCTGTCGACCATATCGATGATATTATTCTTCCCGACGAAACGCCATGTCACATTGCTGCAATCACTCATGCGTCTGAGCCATCAAGTTCGTCAGCCTTCGACAATGCTATTGACGCAGACCTTCCCCTCTCGCATCGCCGCCAACTTGTTGCTCTCCTTAACAAGTTTCGTTCTTCTTTAGACTTTCAAGAACCTGCTTTGGGCCGCACCACGACTATCACTCATACTATTGACACCGGCTCACATTCTCCTCTGTGACAGCGTCCTTACCGCGTTTCCGCCGAAGAGCGCCGCGTCATTACGGAGCAAGTAGATGACATGCTTAAACGTGGAGTGATACAGCCTTCTCAAAGCGCTTGGTCATCACCTGTGGTTCTGGTCAAGAAAAAAGATGGCACCGTACGATTTTGCGTGGACTATCGCCGCTTAAACAATACTACGAAAAAAGATGTCTACCCGCTACCACGAATAGACGATGCTCTTGACTGTTTACAAGGCGCCGAGTACTTTACATCTTTGGATCTGCGTTGTGGGTATTGGCAGGTGCCAATGGCTGAATGTGATCGCCCTAAAACAGCCTTTGTAACGCCGGATGGCCTATATGAGTTCAAAGTCATGCCATTTGGGCTCTGCAACGCGCCTGCCACATTTGAGCGCATGATCGACACCATCTTGCGTGCCCACAAGTGGAAAACCTGCTTATGTTACCTGGACGACATCGTAGTCTTTTCATTTGATTTCCCGACACATCTTGCTCGCCTCCACGAGATTCTGACGTGTCTAACTTCTGCAGGCCTACAGCTCAACTCAAAGAAGTGCCACTTCGCAGCACGAAAACTAACCATCTTGGGACATGTCATCACAAGAGACGGTGTTCTTTCGGATCCCGATAAGCTTCGAGCTGTCGCTGACTTTCCGTTGCCCACATCACTGAAAGCCCTAAGAAGTTTCGTCGGTCTCTGCTCCTACTTTCGTCGCTTCGTGCGCAACTTCGCGTCCATCATCGCACCTCTCACGAGTCTGCTTTCCAACAGCAAAGGCATATATGCATGGTCACCTGCATGTGACGATGCATTTCGCCAGCTGCGCCGCCTGCTGACCTCACCACCTATTCTTCGTCACTTCGACCCTGCTGCGGCCACAGAAATTCACACCGATGCAAGTGGCATCAGTCTCGGTGCAGTTTTGGCACAACGGAAAGGCACCCAAGCTGAATACGTAGTCGCCTATGCAAGTCGCGCTCTCAAGAAGGCAGAATTGAATTACTCCGTGACAGAGAAGGAGTGTTTGGCCATAATCTGGGCGTTGACGAAGTTTCGCCCGTACCTTTACGGCCGTCCTTTCGACGTGGTCACAGACCACCACGCTCTATGTTGGCTGTCCACTTTGAAAGACCCATCCGGACGCCTGGGGCGTTGGGCACTTCGATTGCAAGAATACGACATCCGTGTCGTATATCGTTCCGGTCGCAAACATGCGGATGCCGATGCACTTTCGCGATCGCCATTAACACCAGATGTGGCTTCTTTGTCTCCCCCTTTTACCACCTTGTCACCACTCGACACGACTGACATGCTTTCGCAGCAGCGTAAAGACCCATACCTTGCCTTGTTAGTCGACTACCTTACCGATCCGTCTGCTGTCCCTTCCACGAGAGCGCTACGCCGGCAAGCAGCCCACTTTTCCTTACGAGACAACATTCTGTACCGCCGCAACTACATGCCTGGTGGTCGGAAGTGGCTCCTTGCTGTCCCAGCTCATATGCGCTCTGACACCTGCATGAATTTCCATGCAGATCCCCAAAGTGCTCACGCAGGTGTCCTGAAAACCTACGAAAGGCTGCGCCAACGCTATTACTGGCGAGGAATGTATCGCTTTGTGCAGAAATACGTTCAGTCTTGCACCACTTGCCAACAGAACAAGACACCTCCGCGGCACCTTACTGGCACGTTACAGCCGCTCCCGTGCCCGGCTCGCCCATTCGACCGCGTGGGTATAGACCTATATGGCCCCCTCCCATATAGTAGCTCTGGAAACCGGTGGATTATTGTCGGAGTCGATCATCTGACACGCTACGCTGAGACTGCAGCTCTACCGGCAGCCACCGCCCACGAAGTTGCACTCTTCATTCTCCGCAGCTTCATTCTACGTCATGGTGCTCCGCGGGAATTACTCAGTGATAGGGGTCGAGTGTTCCTGTCGGAGGTCATCCAAGCCATCCTCGCTGAATGCAACATTATCCACCGGAAATCTACCGCATACCATCCACAGACAAATGGTCTTACTGAGCGGTTCAACCGCACACTTGGCGACATGCTGAGGATGTACACCTCCTCCGACCATACTAACTGGGACGCTGTATTGCCCTTTGTTACCTTCGCTTATAACACCGCGACGATTGCGACTACCGGTTTTTCCCCGTTCTTTCTATTGTACGGCCGCGAACCTTCCCACCCACTCGACACTATATTACCGTACCGCCCTGATGCATCTGAGTGCTCCCCGCTTTCGGAAGTCGCCAGATACGCTGAAGACTGCCGTCAGTTGGCTCGGTCTCTGACAAGTGAGGCTCAAGGTCTACAAAAGACTCGACACGACGACGCTCACCGCATAGCTCCTACATTTAGTGCTGGCTCCCTTGTGTGGCTTTGGGTGCCCCCGCACGTTCCTGGCCTGTCTTCTAAACTTCTGGCCCGGTACCATGGTCCCTACCGTGTCATTGACGCGACCTCCCCGGTGAATTACATCATCGAGCCATTAACACAATCACCAGATTTGCGCCGTCGAGGACGCGAGTCCGTACACGTCGACCGTCTCAAGCCCTACTACGACCCCCTCATTGTGCCTACTCCCTGAGTCGCCAGGATGGCTACCCTTCACCCCGGGGGTATTGTGGTGGAGCATACGCACCAACGCGTATGCGCCTTCGGAAGACAACGAAAAGCCCGTGCTCTGATTGCGCGAGAACCTGTGCCGCCTTTGCCAGACTTGCTGTTCGCCCATTTTCCGTCGCGACCTCGTTGCCGCTCCTCTGTTCCATTAAACATCATCGCAATATATATATATATATATATATATATATATATATATATATATGGTGTTTTAGCGAAAGAACCAAGTAATAAAAAATAAATATTAAAAATGAGTGCTACATGGATCCAGGTAGCGTAGTATTGTTTATTGTTTTTAGCTGTATGTAGCGCGTCGGAATTTTGTTTGGTCTGCCAAGCACACTAATGAACAAACATTGCTTAATGAGGTTTTTAACTATTGAGAGAAAGAAAATCAATACAAGACTTGTAGCTCTTATCCACAAAAAACAAAATCTTAAATTTATGGCAAAAAAATAATGATGGTTATTTTTTTCCAGGGTTTGTTTAAAGTGCGCGAAATTCAAAAAAATACCACTTGAATGCCGCCTAACGCGCGGCGCTTTGAGTGCCCTCAAATGTAAGGTAAACGAATTAGCGAAGGTTGCTCACGCACGAAGGTTGGTTGAACGTTACAGGCTATCGGTGACTACGATAGACATTAAGCGATGTTTAGATGGTATCATTAAAAAAAAGGGGGGGAGGGGGAGAAAGAAACGAAGACAATAAACTTCGACGAAAAATCGGCTGCCACGTTCAATGCGACACGAGACCGGAGGCAGCATTCGGCGCAGCGCAGACTTTTTTTTCTTTTCAGGCCAACGACAACGATTTCTTTAAGGGCCCTCTCCCCCACTATCATGTTATCTAAAAGAAAACCCACAGACGGAGGGAGAATGCAGTACTGCCCATGTGTGTGCTGTTCGTCACTTGCACTATGTTCCAACCACACGGCCAAATTTCTACATTTGCCTATGGGTTGTTTACTTGCCTTCTCTCTCACAAGGCGTTGTCAATGCGTATTGCTCCGTTAATTTACGCCCTATAACAACACGGTGTCCAGAATGAGAAAACAACCTTACAAGGGCGGACACAACTTTGTGCAAACAACAAGGTTTACGCAAACGCGGAGGTCTTGTTTTAGTACTTGCGAATCTCACAATTCGGCCTTGCGACATAAATGGTACACAACTATAGCCCATTGTGTCATCCTTCTCGGATATTTGCTCATTGTGTATTGCACTCAGCCCACTTGCAAAATGTGTGATGTAAGTCGTGTGAGACTGTTAGCGTGGCACAAGAGACGCTGCCAGGACACAAAAAGTAACTGACCTGCTTTCATTTTTTTCTTTCTCAATGCACGTGGAAGGTTTCTGCCTGAGAACAAAGACTGTGTGAGACCATTTACTTACATGCCTTTTGGCGTTGGACCACGTAACTGCGTCGCCATGCGACTGGGATTGCTGCAGGCTAAGGCATCGCTGGCTTGCTTATTCCGCAGCGTCAGGCTTGAGACGTGCCCTGAAACGATGGTAAGCAATATCAAATAGACGTGGAAAGTGGTTTATTTATTAGTGTTCTGGTAGATGTGGGAGAGAGGAAAATACCTAGCAATGCGAATAAATTCACGCAATGGTTAACCACGTCACATGTTCCCGCCAAACCATGTAACAGCTATTCACGGCAACCAATTTTCTTGACAGCAATGCGAAAGCACAACCGAAGCACACGCCTGTTACCGTTCCAAAAAAAAAAATTGCATTTGAGATTACTAATAGTTTTCTCAATAACCTTGCTAAAATAAATGGTGTCCTGCTTATTGTGAGACTCAGATAGGTACGGGAAGTAGTAGGTAAAATATTGTTATTGTTCGCATTACAGGAATTGTTCGCATTACAAGTATTGTTTTTTTTTACTTTCAATTTCTTCGATAGCACCACCTTTTAAGCTCGCCGTTTTCCAAAGTAAACGTAGGGTCCATGTCGTAATTAGTCAGTGTGCGGCTGCAAGCACGCTGTATAGTTCTCCAAATAATATACTTTTGATATGACACTAAAATATACAGTGACCTTGCGAAATGTTCTTCCCACTCACGTTTTTGTCGACATAAATCTTTGAAGGCATTTCCGATGCAAGCGAGGAAAACCGAAATTAGTTCAAGCTGCGGCAATATAGCGTACCAACATGAATGTGCAAAAACCTGCATACATAGGCTTCGCTCCAATGTGACGATAAGTCGTCGCCGAGTACGGTCATGACTATCCATGCGACCAACATTTATATAAGACCATATCAGAACTAGTCACATGGTTTAAATCATGCGATGTCACGTAACTGCAAGTTACGCCACATCGTCTGACCAAAACCACGTAACAACGTTATTAGATTATAATTACGTAGCATCACGTAACGGCTAGCCGCTTAAAAGGTTCCTACCAAAACCCCGTCACCATAAGTAACCTGAATGAAACCAGGTAAGACGGTGTGACAGCTAGTCACGTGATATGTTCCCGCTATACGATCTTCCAATTTCTGCACGCTCTTCTCACACCACATTACCCTTGTCACCCCTCTCGTTACCACAACACAGTCTCATTATTAGCAAAACATATGAGCTAGGTGGAACACTAACTCCGCTGTTGATTACAGTCTTGCGGCACTAGTAAAATTGGTGTGCATTTTTTTTTTATTGCCACACCATTGCACGATACATTTGGTGACAAAGCTACAGGCACCACCATACACCCTAGAAAATTGCCTAATAAAATAAAACTTGTAGTGTCTACTTTTGGACAGCTCTGGCTCAGCGATGAGTTAAAGATGAGTTAAAAATATACTTTGATACCTCATGGCCAGTATATATGTTTTTTTTTCAATTTTGTGCAGGTGCCTTTGAAGTGTAAGCCTCGCGTGCTTCTGCACAGCATGAACGGCCCAGTTGTTCTTCGCCCAGTTCTACGTCACACCTCAACAAAGAAATTCATTGGCACTATTTGATTATTACACCCCTACAACTACACAACTTGGGAGGAAGTTGGAGGCTCAGGAAAGAAGAAATCACTTACCAGCGAATGTAGCTGGAGCCGGTGTTTTGACAATTACACTTGTATTCGTCAGTTAATTCTCGCACTCAATATCTGCGATACATCAGCTTGTGAACGTATATCTCCAGGATGCGACTTGCTGTTGAGTGATTAAAGAGATAAACGATGAAACCTCTTCTTAATTCAGAATTCCGAAATGCACTTCAGAAGCACACGTTTGTACTAAAAGCAACTAAAGAAGGCAAGGACATATATTTGCTAAAAGACTGAAATGGCACTATTCTCTGATATGACACTACAGTTCATTTAAACAGTGAGGCTTTTTATGCTGCTAGTAAAAACGTGGCGCGCACAGAAAACGAGAATCATCACGAACGGTTTTGTACCACAGGTATTGGGCGAACTCAACAACTCAAGGCTGCACCGATGATCTACGTCCATTTATACGTCCATCTATCCATTCGTCCATCCATCAATCCATCCATCCATCCATCCATCCATCCATCCATTCATCCATCCATCCATCCATCCATCCATCCATCCATCCATCCATCCATCCAACCGGCCTTCCGTCCGTCCGTCCGTTCATCCATCCAACCGGCCTTCCGTCCGTCTATCTATCTATCTATCTATCTATCTATCTATCTATCTATCTATCTATCTATCTATCTATCTATCTATCTATCTATCTATCTATCTATCTATCTATCTATCTATCTATCTATCTATCTATCTATCTATCTATCTATCTATCTATCTATCTATCTATCTATCTATCTATCTATCTATCTGTCTGTCTGTCTGTCTGTCTGTCTGTCTGTCTGTCTGTCTGTCTGTCTGTCTGTCTGTCTGTCTGTCTGTCTGTCTATCTATCTATCTATCTATCTATCTATCTATCTATCTATCTATCTATCTATCTATCTATCTGTCTGTCTGTCTGTCTGTCTGTCTGTCTGTCTGTCTGTCTGTCTGTCTGTCTGTCTGTCTGTCTGTCTATCTATCTATCTATCTATCTATCTATCTATCTATCTATCTATCTATCTATCTATCTATCTATCTATCTATCTATCTATCTATCTATCTATCCATCTATCTATCTATCTATCTATCTATCTATCTATCTATCTATCTATCTATCTATCTATCTATCTATCTATCTATCTATCTAACTGTCTATCTATCTATCTATCTATCTATCTATCTATCTATCTATCTATCTATCTATCTATCTATCTATCTATCTATCTATCTATCTATCTATCGTAAGGCGAAAAGCAGAAGGATGTTTTTTTTTTCATGCAATAAAGAGGTTGAAGCTGCCAAACTTGGATTGTAAAACAATAACTTATGTTTGCTCATCAACTTTTCATGTCAGGGCAGTTATTCATATGCAAGCATTTTAGAGTGCAATAATGAATAGACACTCCATTTTTCACAAATTCAGCAAGTCACGCATTTTAAATAGGTTATGACGCTTTGGCGAATGGTCTGGTGTTTTGCTTAGAGATGTGTTTATAAACATTTATCAAGAGTTTATATTTTTTCACGCAGTTCTTTTGTAAACCATTGCCCCCTCCCCTTCCTCCTTGAAACCAACCATGCGAGGTGTATACTGCACAATTTTATGTGGATTCAGTTTATCTTTCGCAGTCATTCCTTCTTGATTTTCTTCCGGCCCTTCGGTCAATGTACCGTTTCTCTCTGAGATTACGAAGAGAAGGGGCACGCGTCGACATTTTCTTCTCCCTCTTTTTCTTCCCTCTCAGATTTCCGAGTTGCACCACTCTGGTGCCGTTCCGCCAAGGGCACGTTGCTCAATAGTCCGTACGGCATTTTCAAAAGAAATAGAAAGAGAGCGACAGAGAGAAGGAACGAGGAAAGGAGGGGAAAGACTAGCGTTCGTGCTGCATGTGTGAGCCCCCTACAAAACCGGTGCTGACCCTCCTCCTCTTTACGCATCCTGCCAACAACGCCCAGACGCACAACACACGCGTCGGCGTGGGCAGAGCCGCTCCCGAACTACAACAGGAGAAGCCGATGCTGACAACGAAGGCCGATGTGTACGCATCGCATGACATGAACGTTGTTTGAGTGTTAAACCACAAAAAAAAATTCTAGGAGAAACCAAATTTCATCGTTCTACTTTAAACAGGATCTTGTATTGAAATAGAACAGTTAGTTGAGAGGCGTACACCATGCTTGCAACATTCGTCGGTGTCCTCACCATCGTAGCAACGCTTCTGTTCTGGTACGTACAGTTTCTTTCAGCCTCGTAATTATAGTGATGTCTGATCTGGAAGTCGCAGAACGCAGCACGTCGCAGAACGTGTTCTTTACGGATTTTTAGTACCTTTTTCAGAAATCAGATTAACCGTAAGTGGACGTGGCGAAGTCCCAATGGTGACGCTAGAAATGAAATCGACGTCATTCTGTGTGAACACACATGCATTGTGAAAGATGTAAATATAGTTGGGAGATTCGATGCAGGGACTATAGAATGGTAAGAGCTGCAGATGCAGCTAGATTAAAAAAAAGAAACAAGGACAAGAACTGATACGCAAGAAGCCAATTATTGAGCTAGCTGAAAGAGGGAAAGTGCAGAAATTGAGTTTCGCTTCAAAGTAGAATAGAGGCTCTAAATAAGGTAACCGATGTTGGCAATTACACACCGATTGATTGATTGAATGTGGGCTTTAACGTCCCAAAACAACCATATGACTATGAGAGACGCCGTAGTGGAGGGCTCTGGAAATTTCGACCACCTGGGGTTCTTTAGCGTGCACCCTAATCTGAGCACACGGGCCAACAGCATTTTCGCCTCCATCAAAAATGCAGCCGCCGCAGCCGGGATTCGATCCCGCGACGTGCGGGTCAGCAGCCGAGTACGTTAGCCACCATACCACCACGGCGGGGCTGACACAACGAACGATAATCTTACTACTATCATCAAAGAGTGTGCAATAGAAGTCGGAAGTACAGTCTCTCGACGGGACACTGGCAAACTGTCTTAGGAGGCGAAAAATCTTGTTAACAGACAACAAACCAGGAAAGCATCAAATGCAATCGGCCATATAGAGCTATTACAGATTTAAAAGTTAATCAACAGGCGTTAGGCAGCTGATATTAGAAGTTATAACATGGAGAGAATCGAACACGCTGTAAGAAGTAGCAGAAGCCTAAAAGCTGCGAAGGCAAACTTGTGCATAGAGAAATTCAGGTGTATGCATTATGGACAAAAAATGCAATGTCATAACCAATATAGAGAGGATAGTTCAGGTGGGGGAGTAGTTCTACGGAGAGCTGTCCAGAAGCCAAAACAACCAGAAAGATAAAGTGAAAAACAATTATAGTCCAGATAAATTTGACATCTTACCAGTAACGACAGGTGAAGTAAGGAATGCCCAAGAAGGAATGCAAAGAGCCAAAGCCACGGGGAGGACAACGTAACAGCAGACCTGCTTAAAGATGGCGGAGAAATCCTGTTAGAAAAACCTGCCACCTTATATACGAAGTGTCTCTTTATGGGAATGGTGCCCGAATCTTGGAACAACGTGAACATCACTTTAGTGTATACAAGAAAGAAGACTTCAAGAACTTGAAAAATTAGGGGCTCATAAGCTTATTATTCGTTCTCTGCAAACTATTTAGAAAAATATTAGCTGATAAAATTAAGGCTACATAAGTGTTCCATGAACCAGAAGACCAAGCAGGATTTCGTACAGGCTACTCCACAATAGACCATATTCACACTGTCACTCAAGTATCCGAGAAATGCGCGGAATACAACCAACCCCTATACATAGGTTTCATAGAATACGAGAAGGTGCTTGACCCAGTCGACAGATCAGCAATAATCGCAGGCACTACAAAATCAGAACATTGATGAACCAAGGTTCGTCGATGCCCTGATATACTGGACAAAATCCCAGACACACTAGAAGAAATCTCAAGTGGATCCACAGCAACCATAGTTCTCCATAAAGAAAGCGACAGAATCCCAATGAAGAAGAGTGTAAGGCTGGAAGACATGATCTCTCCAAAGCTAAATAAACGCTATTTCTCTCTTTATCTCCAATGCTATTCACCGCGTGTTTACAGGAAATTCTCAGGGCCTCAGGTTGAAAACAGTTGGGGATAAGAATTAATAGAGAGTATCTTAGTAACCTTGTAATTCGCTGGTGACATGCCTTCAGTAATAACTCAGGGGATGAGTTACAGCTTATGATTGATGAACTGGACATAGCAAGATGATGAGTATAGGTCTGAAAATTCTTATGCCCAAAACAAAAGTAATGTGCAACAGTCTCGACAGAAAACCGCACTTTGCGATAGGTGGAGAGACGCTGAGGGGGGGGGGTAAACAACAAGAGGGAAGGCAGGGAGGTTAACCAGGCACATGCCTGGTTTGCTACTCTACGCTGGGGGAATAGGAAGGGGGCACAAAGATGAGAGAGAGAGAGGAAATAGAAGCGAGAGAGAGAAAAAAAGAAAAAAAAGGAGGATTGTCAGTCAATCGGCTGGCGCGTATGCAGCGGTGCCACTACACAAACGTTAAAGATGGTCACATAGGCCTGCAGTCCTCAAAAAGCACAAGACAGCTTTGACTGCTTTTTGAGCCGACGAAAGGCGATGACGGTGTTCTAGTAGCATCTGCACAGAGAGTGGCCGATCGTCCAATTGTCGCAATGCGTCCGAAAGCTTCTGTCTTTCAGAGGCAAATCGAGGGCAATGGCATATCAGATGGTCGATGTCTTCTTTGGTGCAGCAGACGTCGCATTCCGCATTGTCGGTCAATCCGATGAGGGTTCTATATGCTTTTGTGAAGGCAACCCCCAACCAAAGGCGACAAAGAAGTGAAGCTTGACGTCGACGAAGTCCGCATGGAGGTCGAAGTTCCAGTCGACGGTTTATTTGGTATAGTCTCGTAAGTCTTATGCTTGGGGTGTTCCACTTTTGCAGACTCAGACTACGTGCCAGGTGACGAAGTTGCTTTGCAGCGTCAGTCCTTGACAAAGGAATCGGAAGGATGTGTTCTTCTTGGTGCGATGTGCGAGCCGCGTTGTCTGCGGAATCATTGCCACTGATCCCACAATGGCCAGGAAGCCACTGAAAATTGATCTCGTGGCCTGTTTCTGTGACGTGGTGAACGAGCTTGACAACTTCGTAAGTTA